TTTCATATATTGGATGTAGCAACATATTAGAAATATACATAATGAATCAATATCAACAGGTAAGAATTGATTGTTAATAAAATGTTTCAAATTTCATCAAGGTTGTTAGGGTGTTTATAAAATAGGGTAATTTAAAGCATTATGTGGTTCTAACAACTATTATGTTTTGAGATTGACTTTAAGACAAAGGTGGCAACTTTATTGTGTTTTTCCAATTCCTGTGAAATAAATTATTATATATTATTATTTATAAGTAGGGAAATAACGAATAAAAAGTAGTAGAGGATAGAAAAAGATTATTATAATAATAATTAAGTTAACATGTATATATTTCTCAGCTGAATTGCAAAATTTAAAAAAAAAAAAGAATACTGAAATTGAGAACATAATGCATTTTACTAGATAGCAATTGTATGAAAAATTTAATAGAAATAATCACCAAACCAATTGAAAAGAGCTGTATTCAAAGTAAATATTAAAAGTTTCTTGATTCTCGGTTTTCTTAATGAAGCATTTTAAGAAACCTTGAAACAAATTGATTTTACAGCATTTGCATAATAAAAAATCGAGAGTTTAAGTAGATGTTTTGAAAAATAAAATATATATCATTCTATTTTACTTTATAAATAATTTTGTTTAAAAATAATTCTGTCAAATTAAATAATAAATAATTAAAAAAATGAATAAATATTGATTAATAAATTTTTAATTTATATATTACAGTTATTTATATCAAAAGTTGTTGAATTATTAATTTTGGGAACATGATAGTAATTTTCAAAAACTTAGATTAAGTGAATTTGAAGTATATATTATCAATACTAAGTAAATTCATAAATGATCTTTTTGTAAAAAATTAAATTATAAATTAAATGAAAGTGACAAAAAACATTGCTTTTTCAATTAATTAAATTGATATTATACAAACTCAAATAGAGAAGAATTAAAGATCAACCAAGAGTGCTATATACTTGGTAGTGATTTGGATTTAAATTATAAACCAATGATCTTTATTATAAAGATTATATAATTGTATAATTTAAAATATACTTTCAAATTATTTTCATTTGTTTTAGTGAGGGTTTATTTTCATATATATATCATATAATTAAAATATTTTTGATAAACATATTTTCTTTTCTATTTTTATATGCCTATTTTCTGAAAGAGTTTAGAAATCAGAAAATTTATGTTTGGTTTAAAATTTTTATATATTCTTCTTTTGTCTAAAATAAATAGAATTTTACTTTATTATCTAAATTTTCAGAGTTCAACAATGAAGCTAAACATAATAATATAAACAAGGATTTTCTTGGATTTCTAGTAATTTAAAATAATTGAAATTTATTTATGACTCATCCAATAGTAAATATGATATAAACTTAGGGTTAAAAATGTAAAAAAATATGCCATGCTATAGACTTATATGGTGTAAATCCAAATTTATTGATTTTTGGTAATCAAAAGTATTCAAGTCTTCTTGGAAGTCTCCTTACAATAATTGCTTCAGCATTGACTTTTGGATACTTATTGTAATAGGTCTAAGAATTAGTTTAGAAGTAGCTACCTTAAACAATTTTATCAGAACACTTAGTAACAGAAACTTCTGTATGTATATATAATAAAATATAGCCATTTGCATTTGAAAATCATAATTTTACACTTACAATATCTGTTGCTAATATGGAATAGAATCCTTTGAAGACTATTGATAAATATTTTACTATTAAAGTTGAAAATTGTATTAGAACAAGATAATTTAATACTACAACAAATAAAATTGATGTTGTTAATACGTATGTTTAAAAGTTATAAAACTAGATGTATTACTTATCCAACGGAAGCTTGCACACCTGACCATTTTATTACGGATCTCTAAAAAGAATATTTTAGTAAAATAAGATTAGGGACTGTATAATGTATTAAAAAGGAGATTTTATAAAATAAACCCCCTGTAATGAAATGTCAGATATGTAGGTACTATAAGGGATTGTTTCAGGAAATATCTACTCCTACATTACTATCAAATTTTCAGCATGTAAGAATAGTACAGACAAACATGATTGTGCTTCAAGAGATGAGATTAATTAAGAGTTAATTAATGGTTATTATGTAGTTCATATGAGTGATTCTTTGATTTAAATGAGTAATCCTAAAAGCATTCAATAAAATTTCATAAAAATGCAATTTACATAATTCTCAATTACATCATCTAAAACTATATACTAAGGATTTAGGATTATTTAATCAATGACTGATGATGGAGTATTGACTAATAATGTGGTAGAAGATTCATTTTTGGTTTAATAGTATTATTAAGAATCAAATGCAGGCTATAATGAAGATTATTTAATCTTTCATAGTCTGATACTTGATAATAAATATACAAATTATTAAAGATCCTACATTAAATTATTGACCATCTTAAGTAAGATTGGAGGTTTATGGTAATTAATATTTATAACCTTTGGGATTATATCTAAACCATTTATTTTAACTGAAATGAAAATCAATTTAGCAAATAAATTATTTAGATTTTAGTAAGAGGAAAATGATCTTACTTAAAGTATAAAGAAAGAGGGTAGTATGAAATAGAATTTAGAAAAATATTTGTAAAAATCATAATAACAATTACCAAATACAATATCAAATATTCTACTATTTTTATTTGGATGCAACAAGGCAAAAATAAAATAATTGAATTAAGCAAATAAGAAAATTTAAGAAAATTTAGATATAGTTGAAATAATGAGAAGATTTTAGGAATTTGATAATTTCAAATAAATAATGCTGACAGTTAATTAGAGAATTTTATTTGATCATATTCCGATACCATTAATAACTACTTTACATTAAAATCAAATTGATTCAGATTAATTCAAAAGTAATAAGATAGATTAATATAGATTAACATCATTCAAAAGATAATTTTGAAAGATTTGTTGAAGCTTATAAATCATTTTTTTTAATTCGTGATATGACTGAGATCCCTGAAAATATTGGAAAAAAAATAATTAACTTTTTAGATTAAGACATGATTAAACTATTTTATGAATATCATTTAGATTCTGAATAAAGATAGGTATTCTAATTATAATCAGAGGAGAGAAAATCTAAAATTATAGTTGATCGAAATTATCTAGATTCTGAGTCAAAATTAAGTCTCTCTCCATGTAATTCAAAGAGTTAAGAAGTTCAAGCTGTTAAAATTTTTCTTAATAATTAATAAATTAAAAGAAAATTTGAAAATTTATAAGTATGATAAATTCATTCTATATTGAATGTATTTCCAATATTTATTACTAAAATATATATACTTTGAAATACTCTTTAATTTTTCTATTAGTTTAAATTTACAATTAAATTTTTGATTCATTAAAAGATATTTTAACAACATAAATAATTCGATAATTAATTATATATATATAGTAAGCTTCAGATAAATTTTCGCTACTTTTTTCATGAAACAAAATAAAATTATTAGATATCAAAAGTGTCAAATTCAAATATAGTATAAATTTCTATAAAATTTTATTATTTTAATTAAAAATCTACATAAAATAATCCATTCCTTCTTTTTAATGTCTCCATCAGGCTATGCACCAGTTCAAGGAATATTTCATTAGCTTTTGAAAACCATTTTCAGATTTTCTTTTCAAAAGCAGAATCTAGTTCTACATATTCAAGTTCCATCCTTTTATTCAATATATTTACCAACTTCTAATAGTAGTCAAATAATGATGGATCGTTAGTTGAAAAGGGAGTTTTAAAATTAAATTTACTTATACAGAGTCTCGGAACTTAGCAGAAACATTTTAGGTAATCCCAATAGCACTTAAAAAGATAGCCTTCTAATTTTTTCTTATATCTTTTAAATTTATTTAGTTTATATATATTATATTGGTGATAAATATTAAAAATGTGACCTTAAGTACATATTCCATAATGATGTCATATTTTTAAAAAGGTATTTAAAAATCTAATTTATTTAGAGATAATTCCTTTGTATATTTGTTACAGAAATTTAAGTACTTAAAAAGCTGCAATTAATTTGATAAAATACAGAATTTGTAGAAGTTGATCCATAATATGTAAGTAAGGATGAGCTTTATTCAAAAGTACAAGTCGAATAGTGTAAATATATTGAAATTTCCAGATCTTACAGAATTTCAATTTTAATTCCTATCATTCTAGATTAAAAATGTTACTAGAATAGTTCAGTTAATTATAAGTAATGTTATTTTGTTATTTCGAACCAATTTAATTTTTCTTCATCATATTCAGTTTTAGAAAATTCTTATCTGAAATTATTTTGCATATAAATAAAAAGTTTTTGATTTTCCTATTAAGATTAATAGTGATCAAGATTACTTCTTTCTTTTTGGGATATGTTTTCTAAAGGTGTTTGAATTACTTAGGTTTAACAGTTTTTTTAACGCTGACAGCTCATTTTTATCAGTTTTTGATAATTTTTGTCAATTCCCTTTATTAATTCCCAGGCATTGGAATCGTCATTAGTTCTTAAATTATTTAATAGTTTTCACAAGGCTTATTTAAATTCCAATTTTTATTTCTTCTTTTATGAAACAAATACTTAATATTCTGATGCAATTATGGATTATGTTTATTTTGGCAATATTTCCTTTTATTAATAATCCTTCTCAATTAGCTTCTAAAAAAGGAATAAATTAATTGGAATCACAATGTGATAAATCAATACTTTCATCAATATAGTCTTCTACAAATTAATAAATATATGAAAAAATTTAATTAATTATCTTTTAATGAATAATCTGTAGAAAACCAAAAAAAATTCTAACACTCAATGGATAAAATTATTTACAACAATTAAGAAGACTAGAAAAATCTGTTGATTTTTTTTTCTATAAGTAAATTAAATTTACAAAATTGACTGAAAAAGTTAAGAAAAGAAAAATAACCGAATATTTAGAATTATCACTTGTCTTACAAAAACAATCATTGTCAACCTTTGCAGATTAAAAAGTTATAAGCTTTATGTAAACCATTATCTTAAGAAAAGTGCAATTATAATTGAATGTAGCAAAAAGTTCAACACATTTCCATAATAGTTTTAATATTTAACTAATAATCTATTAATTGAAATAACTCCTTCATAATCTTAATATTAAATATTTAATTCCTTCCTTAAAACCTTTTCTATTTTTCAATAAGGATAAAAATTCTTAAGTTATTCAAATAAAACATATTTTCTTGTTCTTTAGGCACAATTTCAAAACAAAACCATAAATAATAGCATTGCATAGGTTCTTTAAAATAGAATTAATATAGAATAAGTAGATTCAATTATAATTTCACTATTATTGGGTAGGATAATGATGTACATATTAGGTAATAGAATGATCTGGCAAGACTATCATTTTTTAATCACTTCTACAAAATTCTTGCTTAAGTGCTTCTAACCATTACTAAAGTGAAAACCTTATTTTACTTGTAGTAATTCTTGTCTACATAAATGTAATTTGATGGAAAATCTACAAAATCAAGTTAAACTAATGATTCACTTTTAGAAGTTTGATGGAAGAATAAAATTTATAAGCCAATGAGAGATGTTCATAAAATTATCTTGACTCAATCTTAAAAAGAAATTTAATCATTTATTATGAAAATTGTTCAAAAGAAAATATTGAAAATAATCTTGAAATAAATTTATTATGAAATATTTAATTAATGAGTTAGTATATTAAATTATGATTATGAAATAAGTAATATATATTTATAATTTAATTTTTGTAGAGTAGTAGTTGAAATAAAATTAAATGAAATAAAATAATAAATTATATATAATATATATAATGTCTTACAAATTCATTTTAAGCAATAAGAATCAGTATTCAAAGGATCGCAATGTTAATATCGATTATAGTCCTGTTTTTAATATGTATAAGGAATAAATATTGATTTAGTTAGTTGTAATAAAAATTGAATATTTTTCCAATTTTTAATGATGATCATTAGGCCACAACTCCTGGATTTATTATTGAATATGAGAAAGTATAAATAATTTATAGATAAATTTAGCCTGCGTATGAAAGCAATTTAAACTATCATTAACAATTATTTAATCAAAAAATTGAATAAATAAAAATAAAAAATAAATAATTGGTATAATTTATAATGAGTATCTTAGCTGATTCCAAAGCCAAAACATAGAATTTAGATTTGCTCTGTTTGTAAGACTAAGTATACAGATTACTTAACAGTATTAATAAAGAAATTAAATTAATTAGCATACTTAATCAAATTCTCATAAAAAGTAGTTCTTAGCATCACCATATATTAAAAAGATAGAGAAAATTTAAAGTGATTTGAATTAATAATTGTCAAATTATAATTCTTAATCAACAGATACAGAGGATGCGTCATTATTAGATTAAAGTAATAGAAAGAAAATAAAATTGGATATGTGTTAAATGATTTCAAATTACTGAATAATAAAAATGTATTATTGTAAAATTCATTTCTATTATTATTATTATAATTATTTTCTAGTTTCTTCCATTTTTTATCTATAAATTCTCTTTTATCTTTCAATCTAATTTGATAGACCAAATCATTTACATATTCAGGTCTGATTTCTTCTTTAATAGGATTCTCAGTTTTAAATTCTGAAATTTTCATACCTGATTTTTATTCAAATTCTTAAATTCTTTCAGCAGCAATTTGATCCATATATTTAACATTATAATACACATAATATCCACTAAATGCAAATAAAGTTCCTATTAAAATGAATGCTAACTATTTTGGAGAATTATTTTATTTTTATTATGAGAAATGTAAAAGACTTTTATAATTTTTCATATTGTAATTTTATTTATGAAATAACCTTAAATAAATATTAAATAAATTATATTAATATGAATGTTTATTAAGTATAATCATGATAAAAAATAAGGATGTTTTAAGGCTTCATTACAATTGATTCTTTTTGATGGACTATAAATAAATATCTTAGACAATAAATCAATTAATTAAGGATCAGTTTTCTAATTCAAAACAAAATTAATAAATATCATACTTAGTTTCTTGGCTTATAAATTTGGTATATAGAATTAACATCCCAATTCAGCCTTCTCTAATTCATTAGGAGTACCCAAAAATTTACATATTTCTACTATTTAATCAACAGTATTCTGTCCAAAAAACAATTATTTACCCAATTCTAATTCAGCTAAAATACAACCAGCTGCCCATATATCAATTTTAGTATTATAAAATATCTAACCAAATAGTAATTCAGGTGCTCTATAAGCTCTTGAACAGACATAACTCAAACTCTTAGATCCATCCATTTTCTTTGAACTTCCAAAATCAGCTAGATATATGTTACCACTTTAATACAAAATATTTGCTGGCTTAAGATCTCTATGCATAACATGTTATGACTCTAAATATTCCAATGCTTAGAATAATTATTTAGCTACTCTTTTTAATGGAACTCTTATTGCATTTTTTAGATTTCCTTAATATAAATCCATAACCAAATGTAAATATTTCACCTTATTTTCAACACTATAATAATAATCTCTAAGAGGTGCAATATGAGGGTGATTCATATTCATATGTATTTCTAATTCTCTATTGATTTATTTGGGATCTTAAAGTACTTTCTTCATTGCATAATAACCACCATGTAATTTATTTTCAACAATAAAAATAGTACTATAACTACCTTCTCCAATTTAATCCAGTATTTAATATTTTTGTGATTTATTAATGTTCTAATTATTAAGTGTCAAGTATTTATGAATTTGACATCTCTCTTAAGATGTTGATAATTAATGTTTATCACTTGGTGTTACTCTTCTTTTTTTTGATTTAATTTGATTCAATTACATATATTTTTATTTAATATATCAATATAATGCATTATTTTTGATAATTATTCTATATTAATATATATATCAAATAAATAAAAATTTTATATTCATATAATTTTACAAGAATTATATGAAAAGAGAAGATTGTAAAATCAATTTTTTTATTTATAAATTTATACTACCTTAAATTAAGTAATTTAAATGAGTATTCTGTATAAAATAAACATAAGAATTTGAGTATATTAAGTTTGATTTACTATAAGAATATTGTTTTTAATTATTGATTAAATATAATTTATTGAATAAAAGTACACCACTTGAATTCTACAAGAAATTTATATGAAACATTAAAATATATCAAATTATTTTTTATTTTGAATTAAAATATTTCTACTTTTGAGAATAACAATATTTTAGTTAGTTTATTTTAGAAAATAAATATAACAATAATGAATATGTTGTTATAGTTTTCAATTATTAATCAAACACTGATTATTTTATTAATTTAATTCAACCTAATTAAATTCAGTAATTTATTTGTTTTTATTTTATTAAATTGATTGTATTCAGTTTATAAAATGGGAATTAAATCGTATTAAATTAAATATCAAAATAAAGTAAACTATGAAGAGATAAAATTTTGATGTAATGATGTGAAATAATATTAGTATTATCAACATTTTGAATAATATTAAAAAGAAATAATTAAATATATTGAAATAATAAAATCTTATTAATTAGAAATAGGAGATTAATAGGAAGAATTATAACTTGATTTATCATTCATTTAATTAAATTATTAATGCAAATTAAGTTATCCTTTTTCGATGATGCTAAATTCTCAAGGTCTTTTTGGGAGAAAACTTAATTTTAGATAGAGTAATAATAAATTGATTTTCAATCTGTCCTTTTTGAAAAGAGTAAAAAAACAGGTTTTTGGATTAGCAAAAATTATATCATTTATAATTGTAAATTAGTGAAGTTGAGGGTATTGAATTGATTAAAAATAATAGCCAAATAAGAAAAAAATTCATCATATTGATCTAAGTTTATCAAGAATAGAAAGGATAAAATACAAAAATGATTAGGAATATGATGTTTGTAATAAAGTATATATAATTTATACAAATTTAGAAGAAATATGGTTTTAGAATAATACGTAATTAGAAATTTAAAGAGCTTTATTCAAGATCAAAAGAACTGAATTAATAGATTTGGGATATTCTCAAAAAGTAATGTCTTTAAAGAAATTTTAAAGAAGAGTACGTTATTGAGAAATTAATAGGAAAAGGAAATTTTGCAAAAGTAATTAAATTAATTAATAGTAGGTGTATCTTTGTACAAAAAAATAGGATAAATAGTAATATGCAGTAAAGGCTTTTGAAAAATGTAAGATGATGAATAAAGATACTGATAAGTAAGCTTTAATAAAGGAAATGTCAATAATGAGAAAGTTGAATTACAAAGGATTGATAAAAATACATGAAGTATTTGAAGATGACTCTCAAATTTTACTAGTTTAGGATTATTTATAAGGAGGAGAATTGTATTAATAGATAAAGAATAATAAAAAGTACTCTGAATCAATAGTTGCATAGATTCTAGCTACTCTTTTAGATTCTTTAGATTATTTACATAAAAAGAATATTCTTCATAGAGATCTTAAACCTGAAAATATGATATTACGTAAAAAGGGAGTGTTGGAAGATGTAGTAATAGCTGATTTTGGATTAGCTGATTTTTATGATCCATTTGGTAATTATATGTTTCAAAGATGTGGAACTCCTGGGTTCGTAGCTCCAGAAGTTTTGCAAGATAAAATTTATGATTCTAAAGTTGATATTTTTAGTGTTGGTTGTTTAATGTTTCTTTTGATTGCTGGAAAATCTCCTTTTAAGGGTACTACTTACAATGAAGTTGTAATGAGAAATTATCATTGCAAGATTGATTATGCTTCAATTAATACTATTATAAGTAGTGAAGGTACATATATATATATTATAATAAGGATTATAATTATTAAAATTATTATTGCATCCTCAATCAAATTAGAGACCATTACCAAGAGATGCTTTGAGACATGAATGGTTTATGATAAATTTGGATAGAATGAGATATTTAGAATTAAATAAATAAGAATAATAATAATATTCAGATAATAAAGATACTATTAAATCAAGTAATACAGATGCAGGTAGTTGTGGATTTATGAAAAATTTTATTGGTCCTTCAAATTTAGATAAACCAGAGTTTATGACTCCTCAATAAAAATGTATTGGAGAAAAAAATAAGGAAAATATTTTATTTAGTCCATAAATTGCAGTAATGCAATAAATTTAAGAATAATTTAATGATAGTGAAGATAATATTTCTATTAAAAATTTAGATGATGATCTAACAGACGTGATTTTCGATGATGAATCACCATAATCTCATAAATTACCTTAATATCAATTAATTGGTAAATTGAAATAAGCTGTTGATTCAAATAATTCTTCTTATTATGCATCTCCTATTATTAAGAGAACTCCAGAGATTACTACTAAGGATATCAATCATTAAGTTATGAGTATCAAATAGAGAATATATGAATAATAGACATAACCTAAGATTGCAAACATAATTAAGAATAATTTGAAAAATCTTGAATAATAATGAGTTAGTGACTAAAATAATTTAAATTTAATTAAAATAAATAGTTAAAATGTATTTGAATTCAATTTTCAAATCTCTTTCTCGTTTCTCATATATAAAAAAAAACTTTAGTTATGAGAATTTATAGGATGTTGAAATAATAACAAGAGATTATTGGGGAAGTTTGAGAAATATTCTTAAATCATTTTCAAATCACAAAATTAATTTAACAGATATTGAACCATTAAAATTAAGTAGAACACATAAGTAACAATTATATAAATATATTAAAAGAGGATAGAATATTGTAGTAAAATTGACATTTGAAAAGGTTGAGGATAAAAAGTATAATGAATTGATTTTCGATTTGTAATAGAGATATGATTAAGTTTTAATAAATAATGATATGTCTGTACCTTCAGTACCATGGTACCCAAGAACTGATGAAGATCTAAAAACAAGTAATTTATAAATTTAAATTATTAGTTGGTACAATAATGGAAGTTAATGAAGAAAATAATTAAGATCATCCTTAATTCAAAGATCTTGAATATAGAAAGAGAAGAGAAGAAATTGCAAAACTCTCATAAGCTCATCTTATTGGAGAACCTGTTCCTTATATCAATTATACAGAATAAGAAGAATAAACATGGAAGAAAATATATACTATTTTAAGAGAAAAGGTTAATATAGTAATGTCATAAAGATATTTGAATAATTTAGTTAAAATTGAAAATGCACTTGGATTTAAATATAAGATTCCTTAATTAAGAGACATAGATGCATATTTAAGAGCAGAAACTGGATTTAGAATAAAAGCTACTCATGGAATACTTAGTTAAAGAGAATTCTTAAATGCTCTAGGACATAGAGTTTTTTGTTGCACTTAATATATAAGACATCATTCAACACCAGAATATACACCTGAACCTGATATTGTTCATGAACTTGTTGGTCATGTACCATTATTTGCAGATAAAGAAGTGGCAGATCTTTCATAAGAAATAGGCATTTTATCATGTGGAGCAAAAAAATAAGATTTAAGTAGATTGGGTACATTGTATTGGTTTACTCTTGAATTTGGAGCTTACAAAGAAAATGGATTAATTAAAGGTTATGGAGCAGGAATTGCTAGTTCAATTGGAGAATGTGATGTAATAATAGAATTATATCAAAATTTAGCATTTCCCTAAGGCAAAATATGAGAAATTTGATCCATTTATTCATGCAGATCGTAGTTATCCTATTTAAACTGTGTAACCTACTTATATGTACACAGAAAGTTTTGATGAAGCAATGCAAAGTTTGATTATTTTTGGTAAAAGTTTATAAAAACCCTTCGGATTATATTATGATTTCATTGATAAAGAACTTAAATCAACTAGAAGAATAAAGACTCATTTAAATGATTAATGATTATCTATATTATTAAAAAATTAAAAATATTATGAATTCAGAACCTTCTATACGAACCATAAGTGTTAAATATACTGTTGTGTTTTGTGTTATCATTGGCTTCTTATTTTTATTTTCTCAAATACTTGACAACTTATTCTATGATTATACTGTTATAGAAACTGAAATTGTCTTTATCAAAAGAGTTGGTATTTGTTATCATTAATATAAGATTAATCCAATAGTAAAATGATTATAGAATTAAATGAAGTTACTGAACAAAGTAATTCATTAGTTCTCACCTTATAAAATAACATGTAAAGTACAATAGAGCAGATTTATAAAAAAATCAATTATCAAATAAATGAAGAAGAAGATTATACTTTATAATAAATGAATAATCATTATCGATAATCATTCAATCTTATATCTTAATCAATGTTTTTAAGAAATAAAATGAACAATTCTATTGATTCCATTTATCTATTAAATATTAAGAATACTTTTAATACTGAAATGGCATAAGTTGGTATAAATCTAATTATATTTTATTAGATATATCTATTTATTCTGATTATGGGAGCAACTTTTTTGATTTATCATAAGCAATCACATTAAATAATTTTTGGAATGAAGAATTGTAATTAAGTTTATAAAACAAAATTGTAACAACCTTTATTGAAGAATCAAATTATATACTTTTAGTTATGTATGACTATAACAATAATGAATAATAAATTGCTTTATTAAGAGATAATGAATTAGAAATCATACATACTACAAATTATTTAATTAAGAATATTGCAACCAAAAATCAAAATATAATCTTTAATTATTAAAATGATAGAGAAATTTATATATATGATTGTAATTAATTTACTCTTATTTAAGTGTAGTCAATTCATAAAAAATAAACAAAATTCAATCATTCCAAATAAACAATGTATTATATTTTCAAGTGATGAAATTATTCTTTTTTAATGAAAACACAATTGGTGTATTTTATTTAGAGTATATAATTATATTATCCATAGAGTTACAAGTGATAAATATAAAATTATTGGAATGGCTTTAAATGAATATAAAAATGTATTCTTAAATATAGATATTACTGAAGAGATGATTAGTCTTGAATAAATCTAATAAATTGAATTACTTTATGATTACAATTAAGAACATAATATATTGATAGTATCCTTTGGTAAGAAATATCTATACTATTTAAAAATAAAACCATTTATGTTTGCTAAATAATTTGATTAATGGAATCCTAAAAAAATTAAATTAAATATTTTTGAATAAGAAAAAGAAATATTTAAGAAAATTATATATGATCATTAAGATCAAATCATATATATAGTATTATTATTCATATTAATTAATATTAGTTATCAGAAAGTACTTAATCCAAGCTTAAAATGCATTTAGTCGATATGAAAAGTCTAGAAAATAAATCAAATAAAATTGATACTATGAAATTAAGAATGCCATACTTTAAATATGGAGTCTAAGCTATAGATTTTCATATCTAAAAAAATTAAATCAATAATAATGTCATCCTATTCTTGCTAAAAAATGGAGATGTCGCATGCATTCAACCATTATAGTATGGAGAAGGAGTTCTAAAGAAGACTTTCATAATTGAATTGTTAGATATTGTGTTAACATTATCTTTTATTGGATTCTTCAGATATTTAAAAAGATTATTACAAAAAATATATTCAAAAATTATATCTTGTTGTAGAAGAATTTGATAAATAAGCTTTGTATTAAAAATATATTTTTTAAATATTTAATTCTAAAATTATATCTCTGCTATCAAAAACATTTAATTTTTAATATATATATATATA